TTTTTTTTTTTTTTTTTTTTTTCTAGAACTTTCTAATTTTCATCGATTTTATCACAGTTAAGTGAAAGGATAAATCTTACAATTTTTTGTTAAATACTAAATCAAATTTTATATATATTAGTGTAAACAATATGAAATAGATGTCATCTTTGACGTCAATTTCTTTTGTGTCCATTCAGGTTTCAAAGATTCCCAGTTTCCATCTTGTGTTACTAAACGTTTCAATAAAGTATTATTGAAATTACGATTAAGCAATTTAAAACACGATGTGTATCGCACAAGTGACAATGTTGTGCGCGGTTAAAACGAGTGACATCCAGATGTCAGTTTAGGAATAATTTCAACTTCCTTTAATTTTGCTAATTTAAATATTTTTATCCCGCCGAACTAATTCCCTGTACAATTATGGTTACGTTACTTCCAGCTCCCCTTTATAAATTCCACGATTTAAAAACTAACTAATATTCCTAAATTTTATATTACCTTTTTACAATACGAGAAATACACGATAAACTCATGTAACGTTTGTACATTATAAAATATATTTTGAACTAATCCTAAACAAGAGGCATTGAAGTTACCAGAAAATGACTTAAAATTTTGCACTGCTAATAGAAATAATAAAAATTGAAATATTTTAAAATTGAAATATTTTCAATTACTGATTCTCAATTCATTAAAATCTTTATTGACCTTTTTGTCCTATCTAAATATGTAAATAATTAATTATGTAAAGGGTTCTTTTCGAATGATTCAGAGGGTGCATTGCAACAAATCTTCAAACGAAATCAACATCATTATTATAAATAATATTATCCTCAACCATCAACCATTTCTTTCCGAATTATCCAAGTTATCCAAATATTCTATAATGATCAAGCTTAGTTATCGAAAAAAATAAAAAAAAAAAAAAAGGAAAAAGCACGAAGCAGAAAACTAGCTTTGTTCATTGCAACATTTAATCTCCATTTAGTAGTCGCTGTGTACATATTTAAATACAACCAACGTTTCACAATCATCGTCTGTTTATTCTCAAATTAATGAAAAACGTACTCTGGTTCCCTCCAAGATTCTAATTTCGACCGTTAAATGCTTAATTACCGTTTCCTGAAATTCCAATTGAAACGATCATAATACACGTTCGAATCCGCGGTACAATTACATAATCTTAACGAGATCTTCGTGTAACCACTTCACCAATGTGAGTTTAACATACGAGATAGGTACGAAATTTGTCCCGCACAAAAGATGCAAAACGCTCGATCGATTCGTTCCTCGCTATAATCGATCGACACCACAACGAACTAGATCCTTCGCGGAGAGTACCAGCGGTCTGTCAAACGGAAGTGGCTGGCAGGCAGGAGGAAATGGTAAAACGAGGCGGCCGTATCGGAGTTGTGCGAATTTTGGGCAAACGAAGCTGATGAACGCGTAGGTGTTTCGTACTGTCGAAGCGACGCAATAGCCATCCGCGGAATTGAACGTTTAACGTCAGACTGAAGGCCTTCTGGCTGGCATACACACCTTTGCCAGAGGAAGAGAAACGGGTCGAGTCTGCGCCGTTTGCACGTGGATCTAGAGCGTCAAGAAGCGAAAAGTCGCCGGCTAAGAAACGGAGGACCCTGCCAAAAATCTATACACGGTGTGTCTGAAAAATTCCAGGCTCGAGCGAAAAGCCGGGAATAGACAGTTTCAGCTGAACTTTGAACCATGGATCTCTGCACGAATCCAGCGTGTTTCTGACACTACGAGCGTGCGGAAGAGGAAGAGGGTGAAAACCTTGGAGAATGAAGTGATAGATTTGGAGGGGATGTTAGTAGGTTTTGAAAAGATCCAGGTGTGCTCAGATGGTCTGTTTGAAAGGATGATCTTGGAACTGATTGTTGAGATGAGGTAATCGAAAGGATACAAGGTAGTTTTAATGTTACGTACAAGTAAAACATCCAGGGGTATTATAACACAGAGGTAAGTACATTTTCATCATCTTTTACAATTATCTCAAAATTTTTATGTTAAAATTCTGCTAAAATTTTCAGTTTTGGTATAGACATTGAGAATTCTGGTAAAAATTCCTGGGACTTCGTTTTGTTATTTTGTAGAATAAATTTTAGGAATTGTATCATATCGTCAATGAAATATTTGAGTAAAATGGAAGGAAAGTTTACGTTTGTTTATTTTCTTATTTTTTTATATAGCTCTAAAATTTTTCAGACACACTCTATATTTATTCGTTCCAGGCAAGCACGTGAAAAGCACGCCAACAGATGATGCATCAAGGTTGCTGGGATACACCAACAACGGCGATGACTTTGCATATGCAATTTTATCACCATCAAATGTTTTCACTAAGAAATCGAGTAAACTTAGGCACATACTTAACCTACACCCAGCTTTTAAAAATGAATTGCATAATCATTAAGTTGAACATAAATCTGACCCAAATTTTCCGATTTAAGTAATTATTTCATTAAGTTTCATTGTTCTAATTAAAATCAAATTATAAACCGAACAGTTATTTACCGTTAATTCGAAAATAAATATTTGAGAAATAGTTTCTAGATATATACCTCTTAATATCAATTTCTAAGACAAGTAGATTAAAAACTATGACAAATTTAACGAATACATTTAATGACAAAATTCGAAATAAAATAATAAAAATTTATTCTAGAAAGTTATTCCATTAACTGATACTGTTATTTCATGAATTTATAAATAGTTTCAGCAAAATAAAATTGTGTACAGTGAACCCACATTCTTGGAAAAGGTTTGTTATTCATCACGGAATGTAGGCATCAATGTGAAATCCAAATTCGTTTGAAAATAGTGATCTTCGTAATGCTTCTATTTTGGCAATTATACAATTGCGTAATAAAACAGCAGTGACAGTTTGACGAAGTAATTGAAACAGTTTGGGAAATATTTTATTATTTCACATCGATATAAGAGTACGAGCATTATGTTAATGAAAGGAAAGAAAAATTATATGTTACGAATATTGTTATAAATTATAAACAATTAAGTCTGATAATATTTAGTAACTTATTGAAATTATAATAAATACGAATTTGAATCATACATAGTAATAATAGATAATTAATAATTAAAAAGTTAAAATTTCTTATAACTTTTACGTCTGTTTATGCCTAAGAAACATACGAAGATCTCAAAATAATTGTTAAATATCCAAGTAAAAAGATATGATAGAAAATGTTACGATGTAAAATTTGAAACGTTGATATAGTCCCGAGTTTATATTATCAATTGTCATGCATATATCAAATAAAATATTCACTCACTTTGTTTTGGAGAGATTTGGATCGCTGGTCTTCCTCTTTTCTCGTAGCTGGCGCTGCAATGAAAAATAGTTGCTGTGATACTCAGAGATGCATAGCAATGGCAAATGGTAAATTAAGTCATCCGACATGAAGTCTTGTTTCATCGAAATTGTTGCAAAAATAAATTCCACGTGTCTCGAAATTTTAATTCGCTTAAAATTGTCGAATCATCCATTTACACGTCACTTTACGAACAATTTTGATGTATAAATTTGTCGAATTCTTACCTTGTGATGTATCCGCTCCTTGTAACTTTCAGACCTGTTTATGTTTGACGTCTTTGGCTTACTGGAAATATTTTGCTGCACCCTAAGTAATCGTAATTAATAAAGCGTAAATTAATATCTATAACAGAAACCAGCTAAAAGCGACTGCGGTGACCGAAATGAGAACAATGTATGAATCTGCGTGATACCGAATCAATTTAAAAAAAAAATGCTTCAAAAAATTAACGTCGATCTTGTAAGAAGAAATAAGTAAATAAAAATATTGTAATAAAAATCTATCGAGACACACCAATCTTTTCCTGTAAAAATGACCGAGAAATCATCAAATTTACAATATAATACAGGAAGAAATCGATGTAATAATACATTTCTATTGTACATTAAAATTATACAAAAATTTAGAAAATTGCCATGATGAAATGTAAATAAAAAGAAAGGAAGGATTTGTTATAAAAATTTTTATAAGATGCGTATATCTTTTTACTATAGGGACCAAGTAACTAAGGGTTGAAGCAGTTGGAAGAGAATATTTTTGGCGATATCATGCAAATACAAAGAACATACATGTCTGAAATATCTTCCCGCGAGGAAGGATTGTCCATACTATCGGCGTGATCGGAGGCTCCGCTGTAAGCGGAAATGCGTCCTCTTTCGCTACTACTACGCGCGTTTCCGGCTATGCCGCCCCCGCGATGTTCTCCTGAAAACATGAAACAAATGAACGCATTCATTAATTGTTTCAATACGTAGACCACTCTAATATACATTTGCCTAATTACTGGCAAAAGCCAACACGAAGTTGCGTAACTTTTAATAAAAATAAAAGGTAAAAAATATAACTGAAATATAAATAACAATCGAGTAATTGTTACGTGTATTCTCGACCATACTTTTGTTGATTTTCGTTTCATTTTCCTTGCATATTTTTTTGAGATAAAGTATCGATCAACGTAGCCAATTAAGAAACAACATTGATTAAAAAGATGGTTATCCTCGTGTTACATATAAAATACTAGAATATATTTTAGAGTTTCAGTATGGTTTCAATGTAACGTTAGAAGAATCGAACATCGTTTTCAATATGCGTTATTGTATCCTCCGTTTTTGTCAAGAAATGAAAGAATCTAACGGGGTAAAAAATATCGTAATGCGAGAGAATCTGCAACATAGTACAGTTAAATTATTTTGATTCGCACGAATGCGCCACAAAAAGGCCATCACAGGTGTGTTACAAGCGAACCTATCGATTTTCGATACTATACTTCTGTACGCTTACTTTTCCTCCTCGGATAGAATGTACTTTCGAAATGTATATATGCAATTTATAAAGAGCGGCTTAAAAAATGATCGAGCTGCAACGAATACACGTATGATGCATTATCGATGTACTTCCATTTAAAATGCGGAAGTTACTTTCGATAGCACGATAGTAACGAAAGCGAGAGGATATTTTTAAAAATGGTAGAAAGACAAATTATAAATTCGATCTCGAATTGCACCAAAATGGGACTAATTTATTCTCTGGTGCTCGATATACCTACATAATACGTTCTTCTTATAAATTAATATATTATTTTACAAATTGTGATAAAAATAATAAAAATAATATTATCTTCAAATTTAATCAATTAGGAATCTTTGTGGAACTCCTAGAACAGAAATTGCTAAAATAATACAAATTTACGCTAATTTATCTACGAATATTCTACTTGGAAAATCGGCTGTATGTAATTAGGAAAATTGTACAACGCTTGCCTTCACCTTTTTATAAATTCTAAATTGGGATACGTCTAATATACGGATGTAACTAATTTCATCGAGAAATTACACGTGATAATACGAGAGGGTCGGGCCTGTCGCCAGTGGTAATGGAAATGAAACGAATATTTCGATTTAAGTCGTCTATTTGATGCGAGCGAGCATCGAATTAACACGGACCGCGATGTCTGGCATTTCTCCAACTATCCAGTCTTATGTGGAGGCTTATCAGGTAAGGAATGCGGCTCAGGGTAAAAGCAGATCATGAGAGCGTGTGCGGAGAGGGTGGTTACATTTAATCTCTAGTTAAGCAAACATACAAATCAAAATCGATTTATTACGTCAATAATGCGGCATCAATCTGCCTAAAGAACATAATTCCCTCTTCCAACATAATTCTGCAACTACGAAAAATATTCAATTTCGTTGGCAAAATTATTATCTTTATATCGAACGTATAAACATGAGTACACTATACTCGACTGTAATTACTGGAAAATTCTCGGAAGAAAATTTCGCAGCGGTTACATGCGTGAAGAAAAATAAGCGATTATGCGACAATAAGTAAATTGTTTTGCCACAGCTGTAGGGGCTAAGAGGCTATCACCTACTAAATTAAACGACCAACAATATAAATCTAATTAACTTCTGTCAAATCTCTCGCCAAGCGTTTCTAAATTATCGTAAAACTTAATGGGACGATGTGACTTCGACCATCGCTTACAGCCATGATATTTCAGATCTATCGGGAGGGCAAATAAATCGAGCGAAACCATCAGTGATATCATCAAAGAGCACGATGATGAGTTTCGCTGACTTGGGAAAAAACTGAAATGGCTGAATAAATATCCAATGAAGGTTCGTACCACCTAAAAATACCATCGTAAAAAGTTGGTGCTCTTGAACCCCGTAAGCAGACAGATAGTTATAGATCGGCAGGGGTAGGTATGCTGAGGGGATGCAACGAAGGAAAAGCTTAAGTCTCGAGTATTTTTAGATAGGACGATGTAGGCGCGTGTCGCAGAGGCCGGAAACCGTTTTGTGGGCCCCTCCTTCCCGTTTTCTTCTTCGTTGTTGTCGTTGCCGTCTGCGCTCGTGCCGCGCGAGATCTATCTTATTTTCCTTCCTCTCATTCCAACGCATACTTGGCATATAGTTACAGGAACGACAACCATCAATCGTCAAATAAAGTCAGCCGGCCAGAAAGGAAAAACTGCCACTTCTAACTATTGAAAAAGTTCCTTCGATACGATCGTTCGACGATCAGTCATATTTTTCTGCAATACTTCAGGATACGTCACGTTGGAAAAGTCATTGTCGTCTCGTATTTGAGATAGATCGAGAAAAGGTATGATCTTTCAGCGAGATTTTAAGAAGATTCAGATTCAAAATCTTTAAATATGTAAATACTTATGTCTTAAGTATATAACCATAAAAATTATCACTATATTGTATTCAATACAGGGCCAAGGTATTCATGCTGATATAAACGTCGCAGGAAATGCTTAGAAGATAAGCTTAAGAAACTTTGTAATATTTCAATTTGCATATTTGATCAGGATAATTATCGCTGTATTATATTCAATACAGGACCAAGAAGTATGTATTGGTAAAAGAAGAGATTTCGTAACTCAAACTATTTCTGCATGCAACGAACCCACATTTCTCTTCAGCGAGGAAAACGTGAAAGAAGTGTAGGTACAAAACTCACAATCCATCTACGTGGTAACGTGCGATTTCCAGTAGATCCTGATCTAATTTCGTCTAGACACGTAGTATTTGTATAGTCGCAAGGTTCTGTTTATGAGATATCCGTCGGTGGAACGCCAAAGATGCAGAGAATCATCGTCAATAAGCTTTACGAGGACACGCCGTGTACATCGTTTGGTTTTATAGATGCGGCGAAAATTTATGAACGTATCTAGTGAATAACACGTGGCTAGAAATTTCCATTGAGTGGCTTGTTAAAGCCTCGCCGATCCTGTTTTTAACATCTTCCACTCCGCCGAAACTTTCCTTCGCGTCAGAAGAAGCATTCGCTTCCGGAAGTTCAGAACTTTCGACGTGGCTAATAAAAATTTGATCAATCAGAGTTTACCGTTGCCGTCCCAATCAAAACTTTTGAGATGTGCCTGACGTTATGAAAATTTCGATGATCGATATGCAACTGGACGAAGTGGATCCTCTGCAAAAAGCTCTGGGAACTTGCAAAATAGAATGTTTTTTATACGACTTTACGTAATGCTAGTTTTTCGACGTTTCATATTCGCGTTCATCCAGCACGCACGATCAGCAGATGGACGAAAGACGTAACGAGAACTGTTAAAACAAACCTGTCTCTTTTTCTACGCCACTAATCTCCTTCGCACCGCAGTCGTCAAGCTTGCTCGAGGTATCAATCTCATCGTAGAATGCACTGTCGTTTAAATTTTCACAACACGACGTTACGTTCAGACGATCCAAACCGACGATCAAAGCTGTCTCTATGATTTCGCTTGACTCGCGAGTTTTTATCACACCGGCAAAAGTTTCCCAAACCTTGCAGGCAAGCGAACTTTTGCTCATATGTGGCACCACGGTTCTCTGCTTGATAGTTTTCAGCTTCGTTTTCTTCGCAATTTTGTCTTTGCTGACTTTCTCGAGCACGGCCGAACCTAGTCCGATGGATATATTTTTCTAGCGTCTCACACGTTCGAACATTTAGAATCCACTTGAAACTCGAAGAATCTCCATTCCGTATTTAATAATCAGAACCAAGGAATATATTACAATTCATTTCAATCGTTCGAGTTAATTCGATATTATCGTTCTTTCAGAAGTTTTGAATTCTTGCGATATTTTTATAAATTCAAATATGAACGAGCCATATAATTTAAGACTAAATTAAAATACAAATGTCACCGAATTTGCATAATAATTTCAATACAGAAATATCTACACAGTGCAAAGTTAAAAATTATAATTTTCCTCGATGAAATGTTAAATATTTCTAACTAACAAGCTAATCAATCGATACTACCATTGTCGAAAATTCACACGTAAACGTACGTAAATTTATAAAAAATATTAAGAGAAAATCTTTCAATTACAATTATCTCTGCATTTCACTACGAACATTGTGATAAGGTATCAAAGAACGATAACGAAAACCCGAAAATTTAGTCACTAAATAACACGCGATTAATGACCAATTTTTTCTACACCATAGAGAAAAAATGCGTAGAACGGAGAATCTTCGATCCAAGAGGATTATTGGATATTTCGCGATCTTTACCGTCACCCTTCAGCTTCCGATTGAATCTGTTCCTGCATCTCTCCGAGGAAAGCCTGAAGCCGGCAAAGCTAGCGATCAGGGGCGAGGGGTTGGTAGTTCTAGGGTAAGGATTGCAGTCCGGTTCCCCCTCCAGGGGATCACGCAACTGTTGCACCTCGACCATGTGCACACCTCGATGCTCCACCGCCGAGGAGACAAACGGGGCGGTTTCTCTACTTCTCGCGGCAACAACCGAGCTGACACTAATTTCCCTCGAAGCCGCTCTCGCTTCTTTTCCGTGGAGACTGCTGTTGGTTTCCGGTTAGACCCCACCAGATCGCTCCCTCGCTCGTTTTACAACCACGCTTGCTGTGTACGTGTATACGAATGTACAGGGTGTGCGTGTGATTCTGATTTTCAAAGCCCTCCGTCTAACCCTCGGGGCACATTAAGGACGATCTTCGTGTTCGAGATATTGATGTACTTAAAGTCGCTCTTAAAGGTTAACTTTCTCTTTTTCAGCCTCGCCTGTGTCACCTCTTATAGCACGGGAGAGACACTACTTGTCAGATTCCCGCTTTGTTCTGTTTGTCTATGTTGTTTCAAAAGACGTAGAGATATCAACGAGGAGATCGAGGATATCTTTGTGGGCTTGCTGAGGAGCTTCTTTGTGGTCGTTTTATGTATATATATGTTAGTCTTCAGGAATTAATGTGCCGGTGTTTGAGGGAAAAAGAGATCATAAAATGATACTTCTGTATAAAAAAAAAAAAATGTGGATATTAATGTTGAGACTAAAAAAAAAAAAAAATGGGTGAACAAAATAATGGAAAAGTAATAATTCAATGAATGCTTTTAGAGTAAATTAATCTGTGTTAAAATTAGGAACATCGGATGGTGATTAAATTTATGTGAAATGGTTATATGTAATATGTTTAGGTAAATTTAATAGGAAATTATTAATACACCCTATATATGAACACAAATGACTACAATTTTAAACCTCTTCCCGTGGCTTCGTCTCCTCTATTCTTTCTTCCTTCCTTCCTCTTCTCTTTCATAAATTCAGTAGAAAGGAGTGTGGCACACAAGCAAACCAACACAACTCGTTTTGCGAATCTTTCTTATCGGAAAGCGCGATTATTGTAACAACACTTTGATAAAAACCACCTACGCTACGTTTTCAAGCATATGAACTATCGATTATGTATTTCAACATTGACACTGCTGCCTTTTGTTTTAAACAATCGTATAAATATTCAAGAAGATGAAAATGCACTTGATAATAGTCATGACGTCACATGATCTAATGTAACTACTGCTTAGTAGATAGAATAGTGACTGCAAACGTTAAATAATCTCCGGTTTCTTTTTCAGTGAATTGATATATTTTTTCAAAATCTGAATACTCTCACAAAAAAGTCTTATCAAAGCAGCACATAATCAACTTAAAAGGCTGAGAAGAGGATGTCGATAAAGAACCACTGAGAACCGTGACAAATAACTTTTGTCGAGTATTTTATATGGAAATTTTTACACAGCTATATACACTCCTTTGACCACTGATGTTTGCTTTGATTTATTTTTTGACGAAAAAATAAATGTTACTATTAATTTACGACAAATATTAAATACTTCCGACCAAACGAATGATCGTAACAATGGCTGACGCGTGACCTACGTCCGTCAAGGAAAGTCTCGTTTGAAATGAAGACAGTAAACTTTGAGATAACGGATAGCGTTAACAAAAAAAGAAAAAAAATATGTGAGCCGCACTTACGTAGTTAAATATGTATGCGTAATTGCGAACTGCTAAGAATGTAATGTATAAGAAAATCTTGTAATTCATATGAGTATTGTCGTAATAAGAAAAATACGTTTATCTGCATTTGCTAGTTCATCGAATCACACGAGTGCATATTACATAAAATTTATTTCAAGTTGAATAAAACTTAAAAATTTTAAAATTTTATGAAACGAACGAATTAAAACGTTTAGAATATTACAATATTATACAGTTTTGGGTATTTAATTTATATCCAATTAAATTTGAGATAATTTATAGTTAATACGAAGACCAATATAATGTAAATAAGCACAAAATTATTTATGGTACATCGAGCACAAAATGTAGATTTTATTCTGAGAAATGCACTAAAATTAATGGTATTTGGCGACTTATCGCGCTATTGTAACGAATGAACTGATTAATATGGATGGATGTATTCTTATCTTATACCTATATATACACAAAAAAAGGAAAGAAAGACATTTATTGCCTACTTTCCATGAATTAATAAATTTGAATTCTACCATTTAAAAATAAGAAAATCTTAGAGCAATCGCGGTACAAATTGAATAAAAAAAAAAAGGAAAGAATATATATTTAAATAAAAATATTAACCTAACGACATATATATAAGTAGTTAAAGAGTATCATTTAATTCTACATGTTACTTGTTATTTCTTTTATAAAATTTTAAAAACAAAAGAATCGAAAGAAATATTTATGGGACTATTGTATAAAGAAAAATCGTATTGCACCTAATATTTTCTACTTGAAATATTGTTTTCAGTATTATTTTACTTAATAACTTAATAGACTTACCATTTTCACCATCGGTCAGTGCACCAGCATCTTCTTCGCTCTTTTTAATTTTATCAACTGTAAATAAAAATAAATTTAATAAAATATTCTATATTGCAAAAATAAATTATTTAAAGAAAAAAAACATCAAGAAATGATGTTAATGAATTTCATTTACCGTACATGTATAAATATAATAAAAATATGCGAAACAAGAACCCATAAAACAAAAATATCAAAATTATATGATGTATTATAGTATTTGATTATTTCATATTATAATATTTGAATTACTTACCATGAAGCATGTGATTTTGAGAATAATGGTGATGGTGTGATGATGGTGGTTTCCTTTCAGGCCTAATACGTTCCATCAATTTACTTATACGATCGTTACCTTTTTCCTTTCTAACTAACGGTCCTGGACAATTCTCTTCTACTACACGAACACATTGACGATGAACACTTAGAGAACAATCTGTAATAGAAAGAAAATTTTTTCTGAATTTTTAATTCTTTTAATATCCAATATATCAAATTGATATACTTTTATTTTTAAATTTACTAATATTTATATGACTTTACATACCACTACATAAATATCCTTGAGGTCCAATCCCGCCAATGATAAGTTGACAATGATTACAATAAGTAATAGTAAGGTATTGATGAGCTACAAAATGATGACCCCTGATTGTCATTTTTCTTGTTTTTCCCGTAAGCAGACGCGCTTTGAGATTTGATTTATCTTTTGCCACAAAAGTAGATACTCGCTCAAGTGATACTGGTCGAATTTGGAAAATTTTAGTTAATATTGTCGCTAGACCTGCTGCTGTTGTAAATTGTCGCAAATCTACGTGTTCGTTTTCAATATCATCTCTGCAACATTATATAAATAATAGTATAGCGTTAAATGTCACATAATAATGATATTAAATAAAACTTAAAAATTTTTTTTTGTTAGTGAACTTACAAATAAGGCTCCATTTTGGGTAAAAGGTATGTTTCTATGATTTTAGTTTCTCGTGCTTTATCAGATGCACTTTCATCCAACTGAGCATCACTTGGACCAAATAATGTACCTAATCCAGCAGTTCTCTTATGTTGAAAGTCTATAAGTTGCTCATTTAATTCTTCTTTTGCACGTGTACGTGCTTTCCAAAAAATCTAATAGAAACAATATTTTATATAGTTATATTAACCGAAGTATAGTTATATTTTAGTCAATATTTTATATAGTTATATTAACCAAGTATAGCCATAATAACGTCATAATAAATTACGTACTTTTCGTAAAATCTCTTCCTTATCAGATTCCTTCAAAAGAACATCATCTATTTCATGTGCTACACTTTCGTCTACATTATCCAGATGGAGAGGCTATATAAGATAGTTTCACGTTAAATACGTTATTCGTATATAAAAAACAGAGATATCTTACTTAAATTACTTACTGCACCAGGTACTAAAAAACTAGAATGAATTTCATATGCCCATTTTCTCATTTCTTTTGCATTGCCTTCTTTGTACAGATCCGTTACTAAATAGAACAACTAAAATAATATAAATAATTTTAAGTAACTCTAGATAACAAAAATATATATTCAAAAAAATTATCACTCTATACTATACATTACTTACAAGACTGGAGGGATCACAGTTTGATAAAACAAAATTAATAAATACAGCAAGGTGTGCATGATGTCCCCATAATCTGGACCAAGATTTGAATGGACCATGATCTTCTGATCGTCCCTAAATGAGAGACGATAGCAGTTAAGTATTTATATACATTTTATCATTAACAAAAAAAGAAAAGGGAAAGATGAAAATCTATAAAACTCACAACATCTTGATCACTCATATCATCATCTTCCATCGACATGATTTGCTGCTGCAATATTGGCAAACCAGGAA